TCCTCCGCCTCCTCCTCCGCCTCCCCCTCCCCCTCCTCCTACTCCTACTCCAATTCTGACTTTCCAGTTCGCATTGTGGGAATCATATTAGTAGTCATCCCCTTCAGGATAGTCTCCGGATGGAAATCCAACGCAAGACAAAGGGTTCGTGCACAAGCAGTTCACAAGGAAGCCCATGAATCGGTGTGGTGTCGGGTTTAATAAAAGTTGCCCTGTGTAGGACTTTTGTAGGAGGCTAAAGCCTATAAACCACAGATAATCTTGGCTAAGTCTGTCGAATGATAGCAGGTCATAAAAGTCGGATGTGTTCGTCTTGGTGCAGTAGATAGTCTGCCTCTTGTGGGTACTGAACGACTGATTCAGTGAGGACGATGAAGAAATACCACTGGTTTTGAAAAGACCCTAGACCTGAAACTGCTGCACATAGCCGCTGGGGTAAGAGTTAGGTATATGCGCGGGGTAAGGAAAAACTATGGAGAAATTTCCAAAATATTTTTAGAAGTATGTGCTGTCCGGTAGAGTTTTTGAACGGCTCTTCGTCGTCAGGATGACATTCGCTGACCTGTACCGACCCGAGGAGTCAGTGCTTCTGGAATGTCCACATCGGTTCATTGTTCTGCATCCCCACACGTACTTCCTCAGAAAGAGGGGAGCTCATTTTTTAAAAAAAGTTCGGAACGGAGAGCAGTCAGATAGTAAAAGAGTACTCGAAATGTTGTCAGATGGAATGCATACGTTTGCTGGTAAAGCAGGAGTGTTAAAACCGGCGAATTCGATAAGCAACAACTAGCAATTTCTAACTCCACGCATATACTTAATCCTTGCTGCCGCCTGGATCTACCGGCGACTGACGTTCAGCCATTCGGTTTATGAACTTGACAGTTTACCTTTCTGGCTGTCGTTATTGTATGGTTATACGTCTGCTTCTGTTACCACAAGTAATCTATGGTAGGCAAGTGATCGACGGTGATGAATGGACAAAGAGCAGTGAAAGTACCTTTCGATGTTTCTTACCTGCTGAACGGACCTCAGGTGTGAGTCATCGCTTAGTATGGGCTCAACCATATGCGCTCCCGAGAGCAGATATACAGCCGGTGTACGTTCCCAGGGATGTTGTCCTTTTTATTGACACCTTTTACCGTCAACTTTACATTTTTTGTTTGTCTCGGGAAATTACGTCATTCGGTTTTTTCCCGACCCTCGTGCTATTTGTTCATACCTCCCGTTTTCTTCCCGCGTAACTTGACACTGCCTTTCTGACTATACTCCACACCTTTCTGACCGTACGCTATACCCTGCTGACAGTACGCCTCGAGACATTTTGTTGTAAGTGCAGTATTTAAATTTGTCTAATCATGCCACACTACAGAACCGTGTTTCCGTCCAAATCTACTTATTTACGCCATCTCCACGTACGGGCGGAGCGAAGAAAGCCAACTCAGGCGAATTAATCTAGACAGGTCATAAAGCAGCTAGGCTAAACAGACTGGGTGTGAGTTACGCGAACGGGCCAACAGTCGGCGGTCGAATCTACTCCACAGCCGGCGTATGACTGACTGAAGCAGGGGTGGATAAGTGTGAAACAGATGCTGTCTTAAGTCATCCTGCTTGGTTAACCTCCCTCTCCTATTGGTTCTCGCGTGACAGAAGTTCTTCAGGCACCACCAGCAAGACGTACTCAGCAAAATACGGGAGGTACTTTGCTGTCCGTCTGTTTGGCTGTCTACTGGGTTACCTCCGGCTCACTTTCATGAAACACGGCCAAAATGCCTCGGTACACTTCCAAATCGAAAGGGCTACTTTGGCGAGGTTGCAAAGCTAAACAGTAGGGAAAGGAACCCCAAATTGCTTCTTGTTCTGCCTCATGCTAACTGTCGACTGTCTTTCCGGCCACCTGGGTGGATTTTATTAGCAGAACAGTCAATACTTAACTTGCGTATATTTTCCGCATTTATACTTACTGCCTGTATAAACGTAGTCGCTTCTATAGAAAGCATGTTAAAACATTAATTCGAACAATTTTTTTTCAGGAATAGATGTTGAGAGAGTTTACCGAGGTCCCTATATGTTGAAACACGACCTGCATTTTAACTTGTTCTTCTCTTTCCCGAAGTAAATGTGATGTACTTTCTCGAGCTAACCTCGCTTAACTCTGCCCGTTCTTGTGGAGGATTTTCTTCATAAACCTATATAACTGACGTTTGCATCGAAAATAAATGAAAAATACGTACTATTTAAACAGGGATTTTTGAGCGCAATTTACATAGGGGACCGGATAGGTGCTCATCCAAATATCAGCATGCCACTGTGAAGGGGATGATTCAGTATCATGTTTCCGGTAACCCATTTTTAGATCTTTCCCGAGGATTCTCTTTGAAGTCATATAGGAAAATTTTCGATACGGATCTAACTAAGTTTCAGCGCACATTGTGCGTAACTTGAAATGTCAAATCGCTTTGGTACACTGCTTCTTTTAAAGAGCAGGAGTGAGTGACACCCGTTTTTCGTCGATACTTAGCTCTCGGGCGTGGTAGGGCTGGGATCTGTGAATAGGTAATATGCAGACACAATCCATGCCCACTCATTGTTCCTCTACACAACGCCCCCCTCCCCCCAAAGGGCATTAACAGTTATACGAAGTGCGCAGGTTTTATCCATCCTAACGTCACTCACGGCAGCAGTGGTCGGGTTATGCTGCCTGAGTGTCGGCAACTTTATGCTCTTTCTAAAGAGTCGTTGGATATTGACACGTGCGAGATGGCCCTATAGTAATCTCAGAAAAACAGTTTGCATTTGAAGTAACCAAAATGTGAATAGCAGATTCATGAAAATGCCGTGGTGCCCCAATGCGCAACACTCTTCTGTGGAAAAAGGATAATGCTTGATCTCCGAACTTGCCTTTGAAGCCCAACTCTGCATCTGCGTCAGGAGAATGATTTGAGGAGTTTTCGATGCCATCACCTGTCACAGCAATAGACATTGGAAAGCAGGGGGGATTGGCTGCAGTTGTATCTCGTACACCCTACCCCATTCACGCTTCTCACACCGTCCTTCATGCGGCCTCGAGCTGACTCGTACCTAACGCCTAGTGTCCCCGCTGCTCAGGCGTTCCTTCCGTGCAGTGGCCGGAGACCAGAGCTGAATAAACTGGAGCCTGAATGCAGGCATTCGCATGTCACCCTCTTACGCGAAACACACACCTGACACCGACCGGGGGAGAAAGTTGTCGGCGCTCGCTTCATTGGGGAAAAGACTTATCTCAACATCACATCTGCTTTCCTCTCAGCTTACACCTCCCTCGTGCTCTGTGCCAACATTTCCCTTACAAAGAGCGACTAATCATAGTAAAGGTTCCTGCCTTGCCGTTCTAACTTCTTATGGGAATCTACACAGAATGCTGTGGCAAAAA